ATATATATGTATATATATATATATATATATATATACATATATATATATATATTATATTATATTATACATATATTTATATATAGGCCTATATATATATGTAATTTATGATATATATATATATGCATGTATGTATATAATATATCATGAAACTAGAGGTCATTAAGTATCAATCTTAGACACCTTTAATTTTCTCAAAAGTATTTTTGAAATACCAGTTGACCAGGTAGATGTATTTGAATTTACGTAAAGTATTCTATTCTCCTTTAGTGCATTTGTGGCTAAAGAAAAATTACTTTTCTACATTTAACGGCATGACATGATGATGAGTAACGGCGGAATTTACCTAGCTCTGCCCAAACAGCATTGTTATTATTATTCTTTTGTGTACACCCAGAATCACTCTTACATTAATATGGATTTTTTACCTGGAAGCCTATTGAACATTGAAATTAAATTATCCCCATTAACATTGTAAACAAAATAGGGATACCATAATTCACAACAGTGTAACGATAATGACCTTTACGAGGGTATATTAACAATGTAATTTAAGAAAAAGTTTACTCAGGTAGATTACGGACTGCAATCCAACAAAAGTTTTATTTACAATCCAACGATAGTGTTAGGCAGGTCTTGTCAGCTTATTTGTGACTTGTAGTTAAAGTCAGGCTCCGGAGGAAGAAATATTGATATGTTGTACAACTGATCTTTCTAGAACACAAAATTCATATTTGAAGAAATGAGATAAAGATTTTTGAATATTTAAAAACTAGGAGAAAAGGGGCCTAACAACCCTTTTGCCACCAGTAGTAGGGAATTCACCTTCGCTAAGAATCATTTAAAAAAAAGCTAAAGAGGGTGCCGTAGTAGGAGTGTTTTAATATCTCCATTATGAATACCATCCAATTTATTGTTCTGAAAGCTGGATATACCACTGAACACTTCTTCAATGGGGATATTAGAGTCTAGGTTTACATTAGGAGAATGACTACAGTATCAAGTTTTAAGAAAGTATTTGTGCATCATTCAAATGTTGGTTACTATGAATTGTGCTTATTCATCAGATTGATGAAATAAGACAACCACACCTTTGGCCTATATAGGCCTAATGCTATTTTCTGTTTCTTTTTCTCGACTCCATAGGCCCCTACATTTCACTTTTCTTGAGTACGTTACATTACATTACATTATTTCAAAATGGGTAGTAGCCAAAGTTTTGCATTAGATCGCGACAAGTTTTGAAAAAAAAAATCAATTCGTGGTCATTTATCCTAAAGATGATGTAACGCTTAACATATCTGACGACTTGAAAACAGTATTTTATGGGAAACCTCATTAGATGAATATTGTATTATATGCCCAATACTGCATCTTGAAATTCTGTTGCCGTCTACCACAACAGGATTTTGTATATCTAAGCTTTCGACCGTTTAAAAACAATTTATAAAAATAAATTTTAAAACAGCAATGCTGTCAGATCATATAAGAATATCATTATCCAAATGATTTTTTTAAACAACAAAAATAATGGAGAGAAAAAAGAAAATTGTATTCAAACTTAAGTATGGGAATGCCATTTTCGGCCATCTTTAGGTGTTATAATTATAAAAAATAAAACGTCTTACCTCAAACCCAACTACTGATGGGGCTTTAATATTTCATAATCGCTCCTTGGGTCCCCTCAATGTATTTCTGTATCAGCCACTGTTTTCCCACTGTGGCGATCATAGTATACAAAAACGCTGTATTACCAATGTCATTATTTTTAAAACATAGACCATCACATTTTGGGTATCTTATAAAGGCAATGTGCAATTACTATTACATTTTATATTAGATGGGTCGCGGCTTTTCTGGGAAGTTACAACTTGGGTCTTAGAGAAAGAAAATGTTTGGGAAGCGGGTTCTATACAGTGCACAACTATTTACATGGCGGTACCTCCATGTTGTCACTAATATTGGCTACAAGTATTAAAACACACTACGATAAATACATTCATGAGGTTAATTACAACTTAGAATTATTTTTTATATATTTTGTATTCCTATATTATTTTATATCCATGTAGCATTATCCACAAGTCGGTTCTGAAAACTAATGGGGCTGAACCGGTCGCGATTTTTTTTTCCGTACGAAACATTTACATGAAACTCCACTCGGGCCCGTCTCGACTGAATTTTACATGGCGGTACCTCCATGTTGTCACTAATATTGGCTACAAGTATTAAAACACACTACGATAAATACATTCATGAGGTTAATTACAACTTAGAATTATTTTTTATATATTTTGTATTCCTATATTATTTTATATCCATGTAGCATTATCCACAAGTCGGTTCTGAAAACTAATGGGGCTGAACCGGTCGTGGTGGTGCCAATGGAGCGTGAAATATCAGCCACTTCGTTGACAGGCTATAAGCACATGTTTTTCCACTTCTAACTTAAAATGGTTTCACCCTATGGAATAGCTGACCAAAATTGTCAGACTTATTTGGTCAGCTATAACCTCTAACCTCGAGCCCGGCCTCTGAATGCATACCACGTAATTAATCGCGAAAAATATAAAAAATAAATAAAATTTATACAATGTACTATTCATTTTTTTTTACTTGTAATGTGAAATATTATAATATTAAAATTTCATAATTATAATACGTTATAAGATAGAAACAAATTTGTATGGATGGAGGGCAAGTGAATTCGAAGAACTTCGACTTCGAACCCCATTTAAAATAACAATATTAATTGATCGGATGAAAAGATAATAAATAACTTAAAATTATATAAATTTATAAACAGTGAAGTAAAATGATAACAATGAAAATAGCAATAACAATTACATTACAATAATTATAGTGATAATATCAACATGGACCTATTAATCATTAGTCCATGATATCAATATTGATAGTAATAATAATAGTCAAATGTTCCTTTTTTTTTTTTTTTTGGTCATGTCAATAAATGACTTCCATATATCTAATTACTGGTTCATACAGGCATTGTGCTGTTACTGAGTCTCGTGAGTTGAAACTTAGGGCACATTGGTGTTGTCTTTTTTTTAAGTTTAAGGAGAGATGCGGCACAATTATTACCAATGAAATGTTTTAAAGATCTGGAGATATGAACTGGCTTCAAATAATTTGTAAATTGGTAGAGGAACTGGTATAGCGTTTATAATTTAGCGACTGGATATTCGATTTTCCGGGTTTTTTTTTTAAAGAACCGTACTCTGGTGCAATATGTACTACTGTATTTGTAACAAAATTATCAACAGTGCGCCAAAACTGTTTAGCGCCCTCTGGTTTGTTTTCGTTAAGTGAACCCGATCTGACTTTGCTTATTTACTTGCTTATAGTAGGCCTATATACTTGTTTATTTAGATCCCAATCATAAATAATGGTTTCCATTAGAACTCTGCCGCATCACCAAGTACTTCGTACGGTAGCTTATTTCTCATTTCATTCTATTATACGATATACATTTTTTTATACATACGGTACATTATACTGTACAACTATTACAGCGTCAATGAAACACCAATATATTTAGTCTACTAATACAAATGCGTAGCATATTATAACCTCATTTAAAAGAACAATACATCCAACCAAGATCCAACCAATGTTATAAAATTCTATTTATATACTATATAATAGAGCAATTATATTTAGTATGGAAAGTCATTCTAACGTTATACCAGTACAACAAAACACCTTTAATAATAATTTTTAAAGGAACCCTTAAAATGTATCGCCATGATATACTGTCCATGATTGTATTCATCGTGTCCAGAGAATATAGTGGAAATTTAGTCTGGGTCACGTTGCCTGTGGCTTGAATACAGGCCCAAGAATACGTGTCCATCTAGCACGTTATAGCAAGTTGTGCTTTAGATAAACCAATATCGAATAATGATTTATTGATTAGTTGGTTGGTTGCTGGTTGGTTGATTGCCATGTTGGTTGGTTTGGTTGTTCGGTCAGTCGGTTGAAACATTGTTGGTTGTTTGGTTGGTAGTTGGTTGTAAAATAATATTATTATAATTTACTTCACTTTTGGCATAACGTATGTTATTTTCAAATGTCGGTTGAAACATGCGCGGTGACTCATAAAACAACATTAACAACATTATCGAGGGTGCCCGTATTGCGACACATTAATTCTGCTCTATACGATTCATATTTCCCAGCTTCACACTTTTTGTAGTTTTGTTTTTGGTCCAGTTCCGATTATTTTTTTCCTCCACAAGTTAAAAACTCTTTTGTTAAAAACAACGGCCACACACACAAATACGCCTTGCATGGAAGCCGTAAACACGAATATCATGTTTAACACCAAACTGGCAGTTGTGGTTTTCCCTCGTAATGTCACGATAAGTGTTGCGATGATTCCAAACATCCAGTATAAGGCGAATGCACAACAAATCTATGAAATAATAAATTTTAAATAATAAATAATTGAACTAAATAATATATAGGCCCTATATGTGTTCTTTTTTTCATTTCGTGATCTGCTTGTTCGTTTGTTCGTCCGTAACTCCGTTCCTCCTTCCTCTCGTCAGTTTTCTCTACGTTTCGTCTGTCATTCATTAAATCATCCATCTATCCATAATATATATTATCTGTCTCTTATACACATCTAGATGTGTATAAGAGACAGATATATAATTGCTCATTTATGAAAGGTTAAAGTATATGGTACGTGTTTGTACTGATCTGAATCGGATTGTTTTGTGGACTGATGGGTTGGATTTGGTTTGTGTTTGCACTAACAGAGTTGGATTATGGTCTGAGTTGGTTTTGGACCAAGTTGGATTGCTGTTCACTGGGCCAAGTTTGTTGAAATTTCAGTTCAAGCAAAATGGGCCATTTTTGGATTTGCTTAGTAGGGCCTATTCGTTTACATTATGAACTAACGCCGTTTCACCATACTTTTTTTGTACAGATGACCTATTCAGTAGGACTGATTTACAATAGCTTCTTCTCGATAATGATAATGATTATAATAATGATAATAATGACAACGATAATGATTTATAATAATAATAAAATATAACTTTGTTTTCATTTCCGACACATGGCCTACCTTAATGCTGAGAATAATTTCAAACTTATTTCTCTTATTCTTTGCAACAACAGATTCTTCTTTTTTCACTTGTGACTTCTTTATAATATTTCTTATTATGATCGCATACAATGTTGCGTTTATTAGCATCATTACAGAAATCGGTGCAATAAAGGCCAGGTTAATCGCTTTATTCGTCAAAAAACAATCAGAATATTCGTATATTGTAGCGACCTCTATCGATGAGTACTCTACAGCTACGCAGCAACTAACAATCAGTGCTGGAGTACAAAACGAGTACAGGCAATAATACCAGAACAACCTTTTTTGTACATTTTTTGAAAATACAGGCTTAGGCTTCGTAGAGAGGAATATATTCAAACCGAGGCAGTTGATCCAGCAAAATGTACAAAGAAGGCTAAAATGCTGAGCAATGGCAACTGCTCTACAAGCAGGTGGAACCTCCTTGTCAATTAACAATAAAAGGTACAAAATGCACCTGAGCAAGATTGTAATCAACAGAAGAATATTTATCCAGCCTGACGTATTCCGCATCGACGGAAAAATATAGAATGTCAAAAGAGCTATTACGATACTGATGATTGACAAAATGGTTCCTGTCAACGTTACAGCGAATGAAATTCTATGGTATATAGCTGTAACACCCTCGTTTTGTTCGATAACCAAGACGTTTTGTTTTGTGGCATTTTCACCTACCGATAAATTAAATAACGGCGACACAACACCATTAGTAGGCCTATCTAACTCCGTCTCAGTTTTATCTTCCAGGGTAGTTGGTTCCTTGTGTACATATGTCAGTCCTCCAGAACTATCGATGAAGATCGCGAAAGTTGGTTTAGTTAATGTTCTACCCAGAACAAAACGACAGTTCTGTTGAGTACTCTCTGTCTGCAATTCGTAGTACATTTCAGAACATTGTTCACAATGTGGGTTAGAAAAGCAATTAATACCACTTTGATAAGCTAAACATGCCTTACTTATCAAGTCGCTAACATACACCTCACACCAGTATATTTTTGGTTGACACCGGCTGTATGTCTTAAAGTCTTGTGGTAAAACTCGGTACGATTTATGGCTATGGTTTATTAAACTGGGATTATCTGCAAGATCATCTTCAGTCAAATTATAATCGTCAAAAATTAACATTTTTCCGAATGATGTTATATGTTCTGGGTCAACGGAATTACACAATGCACACTGGTAGTTGCGAAAAACAAGTTCTGTACTCTTATCGTAAACGAGCTCAATGTTTCCAGCTTCACAGTGTTTGGATCCCTGAAACTGTTCGTTGCAATTACTAACTGTCAATATATTAAATTCATCACAAGAATTGGTCCCACAATCCACCACACTAAAGGTGCACGTGAATTCTACAAGATTCTCCTTCCTACCCATAATCAGATTTTCAATTTCGTGTAGAGTGTGTTGGAATAAATCTACATTCAACGGCGATTTTATTAGTGAATTGGAGTCTTCAAGAAATGCCTTCCAATTTAAAATAACGGAATTATTTATTTTGCCATCAAATGATGAGTTGGAGATTGACGCTCGCCATATTTCATAATCGAGACAGCAATCTTGATGTTTTATACAGAGTTTGTCGCATTTACAATCCCTATTATCATCAGCCGAGAAACACGAATTATCTTTCGAAAATTGCACAGTTGTGTTAAACAGTACAATGTCAATTGAAGCTGAAATTAAATGAAATTTAATATCAATTAATATATATATATACATACATAAATACACCAAAATTTAATATCAATTAATATATATATATATATATATATATATATAT